GTTATTCCCCAAAATCTCGCAATACATGGCCCCGGTCATCCTCTCTATAATACAGTGCAGTCGCCCTGTCCCATGTGCAGAAAAACACCCCCAAAGCATGATGCTACCACCCCCATGCTTCACAGTAGGGATGGTGTTCTTGGGATGGTACTCACCATTCTTCTTCCTCCAAACACGGTTAGTGGAATTATGAGCAAAAAGTTCTATTTTGGTCTCATCTGACCACATGACTTTCTCCCATGACTCCTCTGGATCATCCAAATGGTCATTGGCAAACTTAAGACGGGCCTTGACACGTGCTGGTTTAAAAGCAGGGGAACCTTCTGTGCCATACATGATTTCAAACCATGACGTCTTAGTCTATGACCAACAGTAACCTTGGAAACGGTGTCCCAGCTCTTTTCAGGTCATTGACCAGCTCCTCCCGTGTAATTCTGGGCTGATTTCTCACCTTTCTTAGGATCATTGAGACGCCACGAGGTAAGATCTTGCATGGAGCCCCAAAGGGAGATTGACAGTCATGTTTAGCTTCTTCCATTTTCTAATGATTGCTCCAATAGTGGACCTTTTTTCACCAAGCTGCTTGGCAATTTCCCCTTAGCCTTTCCAGCCTTGTGGAGGAGTAGCTACAATTTTGTCTCTGATGTCTTTGGACAGCTCTTTGGTCTTGGCCATGTTAGTAGTTGGATTCTTACTGATTGGATGGGGTGGACAGGTGTCTTTATGCAGCTAACAACCTCAAACAGGTGCAAAGGGTAAAAACGCAAAAGTCTGCTCGACAGTGAAGGTTGTACGCAGGCGCATGGACTTGGTGTTGTTGTAGTATGCACACCTAGCTGCCTGAAGTGCATACATCGAATTTCACACTCTTTTGCGTCACCTTATGCACGCGGATTTCCCACCCAAAACGCCCGTCTAAACGCAGAATAAAAAGTGATAACCCACCGCCACTTTTGTGTTTTCTCTTCAGAATCGTTTCCGTGTAAACATAGCCTAACGGGTCTTTGAGGGTCAGAATTCTAGCTAGACAAGTGTTCAAATACTTATTTGCAGTTGTATCATACTAAATAGTAAAATAATAATAATAATAAATAAATAAATAAATCATATATTGTGATTTCTGGATTTTCTTTTTTTTAATGTTAAACATTATGTCTCTCACAGTGGTGGACATGCACCTACGATGACAATTTCAGACCCCTCCATGATTTTTAAGTGGGGAGAACTTGCAAACTTATTTTCCTGACTGAATATGCAAGCCAGAGAACAGTAAGTTTAAATATGAAAATCATTTTTATATTAAAAAGATGCTAAGATGCTAAAATAGTCAATGTTCTAAACATAAAAAACACACACAAAAATAATGACTTCAAAGAGTTCAGTTAAGTTTTATTAAAAGCCAAGCAAACATTATAATACTGAAACAGATTTGTACAAATTACATTTTGTACAAATCACAGTTGTTCAAAAATATTACAAATGATTCAGTAAAACGGTTTCTTTTCCTTTTTTTTCTTTTTCTTTTTTGCAACAGCAGCAAAAACATTCTGATTTTGTATATTAAAAGCCCTTAGTAGTTTTTTTTTTATGGTGTGTGTGTGAGTGTGTGCTTTTCTGGTTCACAACAAGGACAATAATTACAGAATCAGAAACTTTTCGGTTTAGGACAGGAACAATAATTAATCAAACCATGAAGTTAAAAAGAAAACCACAAAGTGCAAAACAGCTTTAAATAGTCACAGATTTAAAAGAGGAAGAGAGGTCAAGGGAAGGGTCAGCCGAACACCTATACCTCACCTCAAGAAGACAATAAAAATGGCAAAGACCACTTAGACAGTTCACCTCACCACACAATTGGAAAGAGAGACAGCATCTGCCAAAGGGAATGCAAGTGCTCCACTATAACTGACAGACGTTGTTCAGAGAAGTAATACGGCCCTTTTGTTGAAACCAAACACAGAAACTAACAAGGGCTTGAAGTGGTCTCTGCCTATGACCTGAGGTCAGATTATTAATTTTACAAGCATTAAGAAGTGGTTAACTGTTCCAGTTTAATACAAAATGTGAGAGCTTTCAGTAAAAAACAAAACAAAAATCAGAGACAATCATTTAAGTTACTGCTGTCTGGTATTATTATTAATATGTTACAAAAATGCACTCAAAACAAAATCATATTCCAAACAGTATATTGCGTAACATGTCACATTTCCCCCTGCCCTACATTAATTTATATTACCCTTAGCCAGGTAAAAACAAAAACAAAACTTCTGCTGACTGTAGAGGGCGCAAGTGTGCCTCTGACTTTGTTAATGTGCACGTGTTTACACTCACACTCTCATCCAAACCAGTATGATCACTGCTCACAACAAGCATGATTTCCACTCAGCTCAGCACAACCAAAGAGGGATGAAAATATTTCACAGCATTCGAAGAACAGAGGGTATTGCTACATGCTGGCCACAGGCATGCAGAAGGAGCAATACAGTGGTCTGCTGGCTGTCAGCTGAAGTGTGTGTGTGTACTACAATTACCTTATTAAAAACTAAAGGCAGTGACCTCTCTTCAGAAAGATTTTTTTTCCCCAATTAAAGGCACGGTAACACAAGAATAAACCACAATTATCAAGCGTTCTCATTTTTCTGTTTCTTTGCTGTACAATTATCAAGCGTTCTCATTTTTCTGTTTCTTTGCTGTACTGCTAATAGATAAACAGAACTACCGTACAATGTGTTGTTAATAATGAACATGATAAACATTTAGGCTAAATGATCTGTGAGAGTTATGGATGGACTTTTGCAATCAGGGCTAGTTTCTCTTTCATCAAGTCAAAAGTGCATGATAATTCCTTAGTAATGAGAGCTACAGTTATTTATAATTACATACAAGTTCGCGCTTATAGGCCTACCATTCGCATGCACATCTTACCTGTAAACGTGCACCGATAAATACTGTACAGTGTCACTCAGTCAAGACTATTGTTAAATTGAAATTAAACAGACAAAAAAAAAAACATTGTCTGTATCAAATTTGAAGATAAAGTGCATATATTTAACAAGCGGTTATACTGTAAGCAGGGATCTTTCATTTTGTTAGCGCCTGAACCAATCTCTCACTTTAAAGGCCCGGTTCACCCAAAAAGCAACATTCTGTCATGCCGGTCCAAACTTTTTTTCTTCTGTGGAACACAAAATATATTTTGTTTTGTCAATACAATAAAGTTGAGTTGAGCTGTTCTGGATGTCACTGACTTTCATCATACAGACAAAATGACAGAATTTGCATTTGGGCTGAACAATCCTTTTACAGGCAAATTGACCTTTTCGAATACTATCTGTATGAAATCAAAAACAACTCTTAATTATTACAAAAACATACGTCAAAGTTAACGAAGGCATATTTGATTAAAGCACAAGGTACCAATACTTAATCGACATAATCTTATAGCAAGTATGAGGGATCAAAATACGTAAGGAGCACCGTTTAATGGAAGAAACCGTTCTATGCTACCAAATTGTTTTAAAAAGCAATAGTTTAGAAACAGTCAATGCCATGCACATCAAAGGCAGAATAAATAAAAAAGGTGCAAAAGCAAAGTCAAAGAACAAAAAAAAAGTGCTAACAAGCCTGAAATCACCAATGCTTTCAGTCCCAATAAACAATGCCGATGTTTGTAGTGTTCTCGAAGCGCTCATCTGGGGTGATGTTTTTTAACAGACAGAAAAGCTGTGATCATAATTCATCGCAGAGCCAGTCTGCAAATACACAGTAAGGTCATACATTCATTGTTTTACTAACTATAAAGCTTTTAGGTATAGTGGAATCTCTAAACATTCATTTATTTGTCATTTACTTCCACTAATAAATACTGCACAAGTGGCGTTACTAGAAGGTTAAAGTCGGCATGAAACGGAAGTTGAGATTGTCATTTTTTCCTTGTCGTGACGTATATCCGAGTGAAAGGATTCTGAATTAGAAAAAAAAAAATGTAGGGCAGGGCTTGATTTTGTCCTTCGGGAACTGATTGGATCATTGGAGATTGGGCGTTGCAAACAAAATGGAGGCAGATTTGAATGCGATTCTCTGAGAGGCGCTGCACCGATAGCCGCGCGCTTTCGCCATTCCACGTGACCAAAATAGAAGAGAGGTCGTTTCGATGGGGGAGGGCAGGGTAATGTATTTGATTAAAGATTAAGGGTACATGATTTTTTTTTAAAATAATGAAGTGCACAGAGAAATCATTTATAATAAACACTACAATATTACATATGAAAAGAAAATTTGTCAAATTTGACTTTAAAGTCCCCGTGAAATCAAAATTGAACCTATTTACTTTGTTAGCGCATATTACTAGTCTTGTGGTGAACAATTAATCCGTGCAAGTGAATATATATTAAAAAAATGTTTTACCTTAGTAATCTTTAATCAAAATCTGAAAAGTTACTTCCAGTCTGGAACGGTTTCTTTTTCTGATGACGTAGGTTTCACAGTTTGGGTGGGGAAACGCTTAACCACTCCCCTCAAACCGTTAGTTTGCTATGAGCGAGAGATAGAGAGGAGGAGCGCTAGAGTAAAACCCTGCCCTCTGTTCAATATTCCGTTTCACTTGGAAATACGTCACAGCACTGGAGAAAAATTGTTTGCAACTTCCGGTTCACGGGGACTTTAACCAAATAAACGCAAAGTTTCTCTGGGCAACGCAAACATTTTGCGAGTGAACGCAACATTTCCCAGGGGAACGCAAAACATTTGCGAGAGAACGCAAAAGCACTGCCAAATAATTTTTCCTCCCATCTCATTTTTCTTTTCATCACCATGTCCCTTTAGGGGCTCTAGTAACGCCACTGGAACAACCTTCTAATCAACCAATCAGATTTGAGGGACAGGTTTACAGTTTATGTAAGGTTTAGGTCATTCAAAATGAGTGTTACTCACCTATCGTTCCCCTCTGATTTTAGGGATAAGTTATGGGTAGGGTTAGGACTACGTTTTTGTGGACAGGAATGTTGTTCCAGGATTATAGATCCAGGAACATGTCTGTCTTGGCAAAATCACAGGGATGAACCTATAATAGTTCCCTTACAGGTGATTGTCAAAAAGATAGCATATAGATAGTAAGCGACGGCTCTCTTTTCCCTATTCTTTTGTAATTTATTTATTATTTGTGAGCAGATCGGCCTGTCTGAGCGCATTGGCTCTGCGTGTCTATTTTTGTAGCTGTTGATGATTTCAGCTCGTCTGGTGTGAAAAGCACGGTGCAGCCTTGAGGAAGCAAAGCCAGAAATAGAAAAAGGGTGGCATAGAAACCTTAAAATGTCACTGATTTCTCATTCACTCCCAAAGTAGCTATTAATAACACTTTTGTTAAAAAGGCACGAAACAGGCAAAACAAACATGCTTCACCGGAAAATACTTGAACGTAGAAGGGAAAGTGTAACATGGTCATAGGCACTCATGTTTTCAGACGAAAGGGAGTCGGATGCTAATGATCTGAAACAGGAACCAAACTGTCAGTTTAACCACAAGACCTTGCATGAAGAAAAAGCTTGACATTTTGAAAGCTTTTTGATCAAAAAAGGAAGATACACTTTTGATTTACAGCTTATGTCGGGATATTTATGTCGGGAAGTGTGTCAAAACAGGTAAAATTGTGTAAAGGGGCGGTCACACTACACTTCCAGTCATACTGATGTGAATGCTGGAGACACAAGTTTTGTGTTTCACTGCTTCCCAAAATTCAAATTTGGTGAACTCTGACCTTCCAAAATTTAAAAGAATGTGGAGTAGATTGTATATTTTTACATTTTAGATTTATTATTATTTGTTATACGTTGTATAGACGCACGCGTGTGACGTATCGAATTGTGGTTGCTCAAAGTCAAGTATGACCGTCCCTTAAAGAGCTAATGTGTTAGTGGTTGAAAGCTGTGACATTGAGCAGGCTAATCCTGACCGAGCACCAATTTTATCTGCATGTGTAAAGCGCAAAGTGAAGCGTCAAACATCAAAAAATTCATCAAACATTACAGGAAGTAGACAGATAGATTGGCAAACTGCAGAGGTAGAGGAGCAGAGGAATAACAGAAGGGAGCTGTGAAGGAATAAGAAACAGCGCAAGTTAAATAAAGGCTTTTTAGATTTTTTTTCCTACATTCTTGAGTGCCTTGGCCTCATGTTTTTTGCAGCGCAACGTACTTTTTGGTTCGCCAATAGCCAAGAATGAATTAGTGCTACAAAAACGAGTGTATTTCACAAGGATGTGAAGACCTGACCCGGAATTGACAAACAAATGAGTAGCTAATACTTTCTAAAGCAGGGTAAACGCAGAAGGCATGGGCGCCCCCCAGTGGTGGAGGTGAAAGGCAAGCAAGTTGAAGAGCTTGCTAGTGGTCATTTCACAAAACTCAATGGAACAGAATGTCATCTAACAGCTGTGACTTTTAATACTCTCCTGGCAGTGGTAAAAATAGCCCTAATTTCTTAGTTTACTTGCTGTCAAGTTTTCATTTCAGCAGATTTTGGTAAGGCGTTTGTGTTTGAAAGACTAGCCTGTCGGTCTTTGGTGCTGTCCTAGAGCCTTTTTGTGAGCGACAGACCTGAACTACCCACACATTCTGTTCTATCACATAAACAAAGTTAGTGACAGGAAAAGTGATTTGAAAAATAGTTCTTCAGTAGGCAACGCAATTGGTATTCAGAGCCAATATGGGGCTATGGAAGATCCAAAATGGAGAATTTGTTACTGATAATGAAGGCGGGGACAATTACCACCCCTTTATTTTAACAACCACAACAACAATGTATATATCCCTGCCGCCATTTTAGTTGCTAGTTGTATTCAAAGCTAAGCTATGTTTCAGCTTGTAGGTATTGGACATGACGGTTTTCCCAGAAATAGGTCTCACGGAGAAAAGCTCAACACAGCACCACCATGCAGCATCCGTGTGCCCGGGCGCCAGCGCTCAGACGGTGTGCTGGTGTGAGTGTGTGTGCGCGTGTGTGTGTGTGTGCGGTCTTGTATAATAATAACAGTCTTAAGAGGCGAAAGCAGGTCATTGCAATGATGCCGTTCCCTATATGATGCTCCGACAAGATCTGTTGCATTCGCACGGCAGAACACGTAACATTTAGTGTGAGAAAGATTTAAGACTTTCTTCAAGCCTTCTCCCGTTTAATGACACGCACGCTCTGAGCTCTTGCGGCCGGCATCCCGCTAAGGCCTGGCACAGGGAGGGAAGACAAAAGCTCAGAGGCAAAGAGGCCCCCGGCTTCCAGCAGTCGGGACGGACGCACTGAAGCAAAAACAGGGCTCCTCAGGCTTGGCTACATGCCTCTGGACTGAAATGAGGGTGAGGGGTATTGGGGGTTTGACTGGATGGATGGAGGCAGACCCTCAGGAAATGTGGGGTGCTGAAGAGGATGGATGTCTCCAGAAGCACCAGCCCCGTTTGGTGTGCTGCTTGCGTAGAATCTCTTCCTCGCGCTCTCGCTCTTTTTGAGAACGGAGGTAGCGATCTTCCTCCTTCAGGAACCAAACAGGGGGCCAGCGATGCTTCTCAAAGTGTTTCTGATTTTCTGGAAGAACCAATGAGAAGATGAAAATCATTTTCTATTCCAGTATTTGTTTTGTTTTTTTCAGTAAAAATATCTAAAAGATCCTTGCAACAACCTTGAAACAACATAGCTAGATGCTATGTGTTGTATTCAGAGACATAATTTAGCTAGGTTTATGGTTAAAGAAAGAACTTTTTCCAAACTTTATGGTTTAAAAAGTTATCCCAGTGACAAATAGTTTTTTACTCATATACAGTATGTCTTATGTAATAAATAAATCTGATATTTTTATTTTGATAGATTTAGTTTATAGGGTTTTTTTGCATTGCTGTTATAATACTACGGAAGCCCTGAACCGCAACCTAAAAAAAAAAAAAGTCAGTAAAAAAAAAAAAAAAATCTGTAAAAAAAAAAAAAAAAAAAATCTGAAAAAAAAAAAAAATCTAGCATTTCGAGATTAAAGTCGAAATGTTTCGAGATTAAAGTCGGAATGTTTCGAGATTAAAGTCGGAATGTTTCGAGATTAAAGTCGGAATGTTTCGAGATTAAAGTCGGAATGTTTCGAGATTAAAGTCGAAATGTTTCGAGATTAAAGTCGAAACATTGTGCATTCATAACAGTGCGCGTCCACTGGCTCAGAGCGCGCGCGTGTGTGTGAAGTCGAACTGCAATGGATAAACACAAAATAGTAGCTTTTTACTTTTATCTGAATTACTTATCTTACTTTACCGTTATAAAATATAATGCGCCGGAATAGACTTTAGCCTATAGGAAAACCAACACGGAAAACACTTTTCAGACTGGATGGAGAAATCCAGCTTTATGAATGAATGAATGAATGAATGAATGAATGAATAGGGCATTTATATAGCGCTTTCATATATGCCTACACTCAAAGTGCTTTACAATCATATCAGAGAATCTCTCCTCAACCATAAGTGGTTATTAAATCTTAGGAAATCACAGGATCCGGCCAAATGATTGGATACAGAATGATGCACTTAAAATGTATCCAGAGCGTATTTACGGTGAAGAGGGAGACCGAACAGTTCCTGTTGTGTTCTCGACCCAGATAGTGTTGACTAGACGAGCACGAAAACACCTCAGAAACACTGCCACTAGCACGTGTGACGTGTGTAGATTTTGTTGAAAGCCCAGATAAAAGTAAAAAGCTACTATTTTGTGTTTATCCATTGCAGTTCGACTTCACACACACACACGCGCGCGCGCTCTGAGCCAGTGGACGCGCACTGTTATGAATGCACAATGTTTCGACTTTAATCTCGAAACATTTCGACTTTAATCTCGAAACATGCCGACTTTAATCTCGAAACATTCCGACTTTAATCTCGAAACATTCCGACTTTAATCTCGAAACATTCCGACTTTAATCTCGAAACATTTCGACTTTAATCTCGAAACATTTCGACTTTAATCTCGAAATGCTAGATTTTTTATTACAGATTTTTTTTTTTTTTACAGATTTTTTTTTTTTTTTTTTACTGACTTCTTTTTTTTTTAGGTTGCGGTTCAGGGCTTCCGTACAATACTGTCATTTTTGATCGATTTAATGTGTCCTTGCTGATTTTTTTTATTTATTTATACATAATAATAAATAAAAAAAGTTGACCCTTACCAGGAAGCATGGTCTTCATGTCTTTAGGAAACTTGCGACAAACACTATTGTAGTTGGTGCAGATGTGATGCAGACACCAGGCAGAGAGCTGTTTGGCATTGTGGAACTAAAGCAGACAGAAAACAGAATTGTCAATTTGGCACAGTGGGATTTCTCTCAATGAGGCTCATTTGAAAAGCAAAGTGTGTTCATGCTTTGAACTAGAATAAAGTAGGCTGCTATGAATGAATGGTAATTCTGTAATGTGCTCCAATGGTTATATTGCCACTTAATTACTCAGTGTTCTTTAGATTCTATTAAAGGCTTTGTTTTTTCATCTTTATTAATGTTACCTGAGCCATCTCCAGATAGGCCAGCACATGTCCATCAATGTCCACCCCTTTAACGGACAACAGCAACAGATCCTCAATGGCATGTTGCTCTGTAGACCATGGCAAAACACCACACAACAAGTGTTAATATGTCAGCCGTGAGGCTTAATGGTTAATAGTTTGACGAGGGGTGGGGGGGTACTCCATAACAACAAAAACGTCAACAGTGAAACATTTTTCACCTTCACCTTTAACAAATAATACATTCTATCCCTATAGTGAAAAATAAATATCCAAAATATATTTAAAAATACATATAAAGTATAGTACAAAATACATTTACATATTTATGTACTGAATATAAATACATAAACGATCACGAGGGAGATTTGAACTGAAGAAAGACTGCAGAAATAGAGATGAGACACAATACAAATGAGAAAAGCTCGGAGGAAATCACTGGAAAATAAAGTGGTATGTCAGGGCAAGAGCTTTAGGAACAGTGTTAATATTAGAAACGCTGTCCAGCGCTGGAGCGAGCTAAGTGGGAAGGCTGAAAACAGACGCTGATGGTGCTTTGATTTGGGTCCACACGTGAGCAACACTGGGTTTGAGTGTCATTGTGTGTCTGGACCTGCTGTGCTGTTGGCAACTAACAACCAACTCTTGTAATTACTATTGTGTACCGCACATTTTTTGTGCTTCCTTGTCATTCGATCTGCGCTTTATTTTTCGTGAAGCATTATTCTGTTGTGCTTCCGTATGAACAGATATCCTCTCTTAGATTGCTTGCGTAATGGAGGACAGTAGATGAGTGCTAGTTAAAGCCATTGTTAGTGCACTCGACTCGGGGTTTGAGACCGACTCTGAGCAGGGCTGGTATGACTGGATTGTGAGTTTTGGAAATGGAGCAATGAAGGGGTGTGTTTGTTTGGGTTGATTTCTAATATCAACATTGACCAACAGCATATTTCAAAAACTACTGATCCAACCTTTAAAGTCTGCTAAATTGGAACAACTAATTTTGTACGTAATGCACTTAAGTATATCCTTAGTTGGACCTCAGCACTATTATATAATAACTAAAGTATAATTGATTATGAAAAAGTGGAACTATTGCAATATGTACACTTTAAATATCTTGCATTTAAAGAATTACATTATATTACATAGATCATACTATCCTTACTAATAGTGATATTAAAACATTTCGGCTTAATATTAATAAATGTGCATTGTGCAATAAAGAAGTACTCCAAATTATAATATTTATTTCAGCAAGTCTCAAGCGATATGTCAGTAAATATTTTAATGGATTTGTAGTATACCTAATATGAAAAAAATATATTTTAAATACATTTTGGCATAGGTTTTTTTTCACTAGTATTGTTTAGCTGTAGATAATCCTTATTTATTTATTCACTTTTTCAAGTTTAAATGCTTAAATCATTTTTAATATTAATCAGCATTTTAGCTCATGCTCAAAGAGTTGTGTTAAAAAAAATCAAGATCTTCCTCCCCAGGCCCAACATGACATCATGACTTTTGCGTAAACATTCAAGTCAAGTGGCGTGTTATCTATACGCACTTTGATCCGTGTGTATGTCTACGCCGTTAAATGTCCGAGTGATTCCGCGTGTATGTACACGCCGTTAAATGTCCGAGCGAAATGAATGCAAAATGTAGATCTACATCTGGGGAGTGATATATTTTTTTTCCTAGGATGGTAGTGGAAGACTCATAAATGGTTTTAACCCCAGCAACGGGTAGGTTTAGGGACGGGGTTGGGGTAGGTCATATATTCATACACTAATGTAACGTTTAGTCAACGGCGTTCATAAACACGCTGAAAAGCGATTATGCATGTTGATAGCACGCCAAAAATGGAAATACGAATTGGCGTGTCATATGTACGCCATTTCATGAGATCAGTCTGCCAGGTCCATTAACACAGCATTATACAGTGTTTTTTCAAGGTACACCGTCTGCCTTCAGGTAAATATAGAGCCATTACCTGTTAGAGCTACAAGGCGGGGAAGACAGAGGCGGTTAGCTAGTATTATGAGGTCCATTGGCTCCAGTTCAGGGCATGGTGTCAATACACCACAGTAGAGAAACTCCAGAACGGCTCTCATGCAGGCACAACTGGTGTTGGGGATTGACACCTGAAAATAGAAACAAAGAAAGAAAAAGACATGTGGGTTTGCAAAAAACACCCTAAATATTCCAAGTTCACAGTTATTAACAAAAGCCCACGTTGAGAAAAGTTTGTGGAAACAGATTTCATAACCCACGCTGAGGGATGTTTATTCATAGCTCATCTCTAGGACATGGAAACTTGGGAAGCAGATCGATCCAGGGATGAAACAATCTGCTCCACACCTCTCCCCTATTGAGACCTGCATGGTCCTGGCAGCTGACCATTAGAGGAGGCCTTCTTGTTGACATGGCAGGACCCGGCATGGCCAAAAAAGCAGTTAGAAAGGGATGTATTTGTCCAGGAGGGCTAGTGGAGGAAAGGGCCTTGGGAAAGGGATAGAAGGGTGAGGGCAGTGGCCTCCACAAGGGGTCTTTCATCCTTCAGGAGATTAAAGCACTGTGTGAAACCGTTGACAGTCTCAGCTTAAAGCTGTGGAAAAATAACTCTGTGGGCTTGTCGCTACGGGAAACCTGGCCTCTGCATAAACAAGAGCCAACAAACCAGCCTACAGGAGAGACTGTCATCACGTAAACTGTGAACACAGGATAATTCGCAACATTCAGTAAGTTTTATCTCCTGTATACTGATATGACACATTTTGTCATCATATTTAAAATAGCCACCCGGTGCACCAATTTAACTTAAAAAAAAGACTATTGTTCTGCTTTTAGTGAATGGATGTACATCTTGTTAGTACAAGCCCACACTATATTTTAAAAGTTTAATTGACATTTAATTGATCAAAGGTTTTCATTATAACAAAAAAGACAAAAAAAATATCTTTTTAATTTTCGATTTATAAATGAATCCTAAAAAAAAAAAAAAATCACGATTTTCACAAAAATATTAAGCAGCACAGCTTGTTTTCAACAACTGCTTTAATAATGATAAATGTTTCTTGAGCAGCAAGTCAGCATATTAGTATGATTTCTGAAGGATCATGTGACACTGAAGACAGGAGTAATGATGCTGAATAAATCAGCTTTGTCCTCACAAGAATAAATAACATTTTAAAACATAATAAAACAGAAAACAGTTATTCAATTATAATTATATTGAATTATATTATTATAACATTTCACAGTATTACTGTTTTTACTGTATTGTTGATCAAATTCAAGAGACTTCTTTCAAAAACTTCTTCAAAATCTTACTGACCCAAACTTTTGAAGAGCACTGCATTTCAAAAATGAATCTCGATGGTGGGACCACTTTGCTCATCCTTCATACAAAGTTGCAATTTTGCCACCATACACGTAGTACTATTATGGTAGATTGAGGGGCATGAATAACACAACTTAACAATTTCCCACATCCAACACCATTCCTATCCAAAATCAGATACACCAAAAAGGGTAAAGAGCAAACAAAGGCATGCTTATTCTTTCACCTCCAAGGAACAGGAAAGGAATTAAGGGATAGCTTTCAGCAGGGACACAAAGAGGAAAGTGCCGGGCCTATAAATCAATCTATGGCAACCTTCTCCTAATGCTGTTGTCATGCTCAGACTAAGCAGTTGTTCCTCTGTGAATTAGGACAGGATGGAGAGGATTTAATTGCCTCTGCAGTTACCCTGTTTGAGGATTGAACACTTATATGGCGCAGATGTTTGTAGCAACCTGGAAACCACTGGCACTTGTGTAGGGTTTGTCCTCTAAAAATAGTCCTCAACATGTACATCCAATTAAGAAATGACAAGATGTCTCCACTTACTCTAAACTGCACCGTGTTGTGAATTAAACAAAAACAAGTGTAAGACTCAAAATGCATCAAACCACAACAACGGTCAAAACAAAATCTGAACTGCTTCCACCACAAGAGTAGGAGTTGGTGGGAATGGCGGCTGTAAATCGACACAGATTCTAGGTCAGAGAGGGTACGTTGGGGGGGTAACAAGATGACACTCAGCGGTACTTCAGAAGCCTAGGGGTGCCCTTCACCTGTCTGTCTCAAAGCCAATTAACAGAATGTCAGTGTGAATATGACCTCTCATTATGGCTAAAGGGTAGACTGAAAGACGCAGAGGAGACACAGTAGGTAACTTCCTGTTAAAGAGCATATTGCAGGTTAAAAAAAAAAGATTAAATCTAAATTAATAAATAACGTATCAAAATAATGTATCAAAATACCAAATGAAAAGTTAATGCAGGATTTAAAATGTTTTAAAACGACATAAGGGTAGAGGTAGACCGATTAATTGGTCGGCCGATTAATCGGCCGATTTTTGGCATTTTTTAACATAATCGGCATCGGCCAATATCCAAGTATATCAAGCCGATTATCAGGCAGGCGCATCTGTGGGCAGCCCAGTGTTGTCGTGGAACACGTGTTTGACGCACGCTGCTGCTAGAGTCATTTTCCAGCCGAGTGAGCAGCAGAAATACGTTATTGTTAAATTAAATAAAATATAATAAATCTTATATATAAAAAATTAAATCATTTAAAGTTTTTTTTCTCCTTTTTGTGATAATTAGGTTATGTCCATTTGTCTTTGTCCGTCAACAAATAAAACAAACCAAAAATAGATGTTTCAGGACATTTTTTGAGAGGATAAAATATTTTTGTTGAGAAAGTTTGTCTATGTTAAGTAATTATCATTTCTTTTGCATTTTATCTTTCAAATAGAAGTTAAAAACCAAGCAAATGTCGGCCAAAATAAAACGGCAGCTTTAATCGGCCATTGGCCGACCCGGATTTCAAAAGTAAAAAGACCCGGCGTGAAAAAAAAACCAAAAAAAAAAACCATATCGGTCGACCTCTACATAAGGGCACTAATTTAGAAGTTAAAGTGAGCGTTTATTGGACTGCTCGTAAAAACTGCTTTTCAACATCGTGTCATTTATAGTCACGTCAGGGAGCCTCAGCCTCGGCTTAAAGCAGAGGAGGCTGGTATTCAGTGAGAACGGTCATGCGTTTTCAAAGTTTTTGTATTTTAATTTATCATCGTCATTGTAAATTATTGTGTTTGTGGAGGTTGCAAAAACTCCGGCCTGTCAGAACATAGAGTCCACAGGTTTCTATAACAAAAAGGGATGGTGCTATCTTTTGTGGCTGCTGCGGTTTGTGCAGGTGAAGAGACGGGATTTCTCTTCCGCATTGGCTTCGAAAAACGTGGTCGCGTATAGCGTTTACTTAAGTGAATACTTTAAGTAGAAAAACAGTGTTGTTAATGTTTGCTAAAGAACTACTGAATGCACCCTTAAATGTAATCTTTAACAAATTGCAAAATGAACATCCCATTTTCCACACTGTACTTTATAATGTGACGACTAAATTCACTAGTTTTTAGCGTTTTATTTTCAACTGATTTTAGCATGCAATTTAAATTAAATGGTGATGTTAAAATGAATATTCTGTGTTTAGTTTGTTGTTCCTTGGAAGAAGAAGAATTGAAAAGAAAAAAAAAAAGACACTACATAAAAACTACCTTGAGAAGAAAAAGAGGTCAAGACCCAGGGCAATGTGCATTATGGAGGAAGTGGTCACCTACAAAAAACAACCAGACTCCTCATCAACTAACAACAGCAGTGCCCGAAACCACAGCCTCCGCCTACATTGTCTAAATTTTCACTTCATCTTTGTCTCATGGGTAAAATGTGACAGTTTCTCACATTTGAGCTTCGCTTGGGCTTGTGCTAATCACACTCAGAAATATGATATTGCTGAAAGGAATTCTGACACCTGAGCGTCTCCCATATATATTCAAACACTGCCTGCCTTAAAAAGCAACATGTTCAAAACAGAACGGCTCCTGACCTCACATTGAGTTTCATGTGATGCATAAGTACAACATAACAGACCTATAAATAACACTGGTGCAGACGTTGTATGGATTTTTAAAGTTGTCTTCAGTAATACGTATGTGCGGCCAAACCTCAAAAACCTTGAGACATATTTCTGAGCATGGACTAGAATAGTGTCACCGTCATGTTCAGTTTGTTTTGGTTTTCACTCGCCACTCATCAGTCACCATGGACACTAACACTCATCTTCACAGCTGTTCGTCTTTAAGTTAATCTTCTCTGTAGTTACGTTCCAGCTGTAGTGTTCAGTTCTTTGTTTGTGTTATGTTTGCACGCTGTTTAGCATGTTGGCTATTATCTTTGTAATAATATGCATCTAATAAACCTTGTAGTATTACCTCCATCATTGACTACGTTTACAAAATGTCAATATTCGGGTTATGGTCGGGTTAAGGTCACTATTCGGGTTTCTGAAACATTCGAAATAACCTGTTTACATGCGTGAGCAGAGAGAGTTACTCCTGCATACATGGAATTTGTAATCAATTGGCAATACCCCGATGTAAACGGTGATGCACGGTTGGCGTTTGGACGTACGGACAACCTTAAGACGCAATATGGGTCATTTCCGATTCTTTTTCGAACAACAGCAGCAGCATGCGGATAATGTATAGTCCGGGGCAGATGGCGATCGCCTTTGTTTGTGCTTTGGTGCACTGTGTCAACTCGCCATGTTTACCTCTACTTCGTGTTTACTTCCGGTATACTGCATGCAGGCTTTTGTATGCAGGCCTTCTTCATTCAAGAAGTTCCTCTACTCAAAACACCACGATTCCTTGCGAATAGAACATGCGCAGAACACCAATAAATGTTCCCTTTGATTGGGATATGCCGATACGTGTTTACATGACCAAACATTTGGGTTAGAAAAGGAGTACCCCAGGGATCATAACCGGGTTTTTAAAATTTGGGATATGAGCATATTCGGTTCTTGCTAATATCCCGGTTTTGAACGGGTTAGTGGCTGCTTGTAAACATAGTCATTGTCTTCCTTGAACTCAGGGTTACAAATAGTAAAGCTTACATGTGGTAGATCATTCAAGGACAACTCTTGACTCTGTGCATCCCAAACCGAGGCGTAACACCAATATTTCTTTACACAAGAAGCATTTGAGCACAGACTTTGAAAAATCCACTTTCCGGGTGGACGATCAGGCTTTAC